GTTTAATAGGTTTATTATTAAAGTTGGGCATTGAGTCTCGAATATTTTCTTATCTTATGATGGACACCTGATTGGAAGCACCTGGAGGTACCAGAAGCTCAAAACAAGAGTCAATAGCTACAGTAAAATAAGCTGTTTAGCAGAGAAGATTTGGCCAATTTTTCATGTGCGCAACCCACATACTCAGCTCATTGTAACAATGCTTCTTGGCAATAAATCTTACACCGGGCACCTGATTGGCAGCAACAACAAAAATAAGCTGTTTGACAGAGAAGATTTGGCCAATTTTTCATGTGCACAACCAGCAAACTCAGCTCATCCTGCAAATGCATGTTCCTTACAAATGTGGCAGCATTTTAAAGGGAAATTAATAGGCTTTCCAACAGTATGAGTTTATTTTAATTTTATTTATTTTGCCAAGAAGCATTGTTACAATAAAGAAATCTAAAAAACACCAATTTCCTCACTTTTTGTGCTAAGTTTATATACTTGTGATTTTGTATTGGCCCAGATTTGATTTATTGTGCGAATGCTTTAAAAACTTCCATGAAACACACTTCCAAACAGGACATAAACACACCTTCTCTGTAACTTTGAATTGACAATAAACAGCTGTGTATGTTTTGACAATTGCTCAAAAAAAATCCCAACGTAAAAATCTGTATAGTGTTAGTCAACTTAGTTACAAATCAGCCACATTTAATTTAAAATGTTACACGTTTACTGTGTTTTAATTCAAACCCTGTGATCTTTTTGAGCAGCAGAAGATATGTTTAAAAATGACTCACTAAATTACCAATTATATTTTCTTGGCTTTTATGCTCAAACAACTTAATTGTCAGTAATAAAATCATTTTCTCAGAGTTAAAATAAAATCTGCACTCAAATGTAAAAGGGCTATTAAAAACCTTTTCAGCATTAGAGAGAAATAGAACTGTTACTAATATCTTCTTTAGCTTGACAAGAGAGAGTATTGGAATACAGAAATGTTTTTAATATACAAAAAGGAACAAAAATAGGTACCATTGTTTACCACATTAATCCACAATAATCATTCTTGTGATTGCGAAAGTCAGCAGCACTTTTCTTTTTGTTTGTTTTTGCATAGTTACATTTGTAATTTTTTTTTGTATTTTTACATATAATAAAGGTTTTGATGGGCATGAGATGATTTAGTATGTTGGTCATTACATACATCACTTTTTCTGGGACAGTTTATAAAGTTTTAATAAAGACCATTTTTGATTTTTTTTTATGTTTGTGTTGTGTTTGTTGTTTTTTAAACATTGACCAATTTAGAGGCAGAGCTCTCTGGAAACTAAGCAGTCTTATGTTGACAAGAACAGCTTTGAGGACAGGAAAGCCATTGAACAGAGGCTTGGATTAACCGTAATCCTCTGTTCAACTTGTTCAGAAGCTGCTCAAATCTCTTGTGTATCCACCTTCTTCCTGTTTTAGTTTGTGAGGTCAGTTTAGATTTGCAAGATAACTCACTTATGTTTTTAAAAATTAAAATAAAAAATATATTTTTTAAATAATCAAATCAATAACTTAAATTAAATGAGTGGCATTAAATTTGCAGAGTTGTTGTCATCGCCTTTCTTTGAGTCTTTTGTGTACATGTAACAAACTCTGGGATCAGTCACACAGCACACTGAACAAACATCATGAGTAAGTTGGCATTTGGAACAAGAATAATCATAACTTACCAAATGCCTGAAACCAAGAAACAAAATATCAAAGAAAGGGGGGAAAAAAGGCTCTATATAGTTCTGCATCACTTACTTTTCAATTACAGCAGCCGAAGCAGAACGAAATTGTTAGTGTCATTTATCGACTGTGGTGCCCTCTATTAGAGTAACAACTGAGAGAAATCCATCCTGTTGTATAAACCACCTAGATGTCTTACAATAACAAAGAGTTCATTTCTGTCAGCCGTCCTTAAGTCTTTTGCGTGTGATACAAGGAAGAGATGAGAAATGTACGCCAGGAAACACATGAAAGCACACGAGAAGCAACCACACCTAACTGGGCAGGTAATCCTCATGATGGCTCTTCTCTCTGTGGTTCCCAGTTACAACACAGTGAGGTGAAGTGTGTCCAAAATTATAAAGGTGACTTTTGAGGCTCAAATGCCACCCCTAAACACTTAAACTAATAACTTTAAGCAGAATATATAGGTTATTTTTTGTTATATTTTAATATGTATGTTTTTTCAAAAACAGTTAATGTTGTTTTGAACACTAATTAGAAGTGTTCACAGTAAATTAAATGCCATGTCTATTACTTCTGCCTTGATGATTTACACTGATGATGTGGACCAGGCAGGAGTAGTCGAGCGCAGACACCCTAATGACCACCCCCCCATGAGTATATATTTTTAATACTTTGTGAGGGGAAAAAACTGTCAACCATATCCAAAGTACAGGACCAAAGACAACTAAATAATGTATGCTTTTGTTAGATTCTTTGAAGACGATATGTGCTACGCGTTACCCGTTTCTAGTGTGGAAGATTTCAGCCCTCTGCACAGAACAGATTTTGATCATCAGAAGGTGTATCTGGTTCACAGAACTGAGGAGAATGGCTGCGCAGGCCAGCCGTGCCAAGCACAGATTCTAGCCCTTGCAGGTAAGTTATTCTCCTGACACCAGTTTTGCCTTTTTTTTTAATTCTCATTTTCTCTGTCGGATCAATAACGCTACCGTGCTCCTTACTCTGAGAGCTGTCACGGCAAGTTTTTCCTCTCTCTTTTTTAGTCCGAACTGTCAGGACGTGATCAGCTGGAATCTGACACTGAGAGCAACAACAACGTCCTCCACTTTAGCTAGCAAGATATGCTAAGTTTAATAGACTACCATACCTCGTCAGGGCTTATTTATTTACGCAGTGTGTTGTTCTATAAGTTACGTTTCCTGCCTCTGTAAGCAGTGTCGGTAGTTTGTTGTAAACGCTTGCGAGTCGCGTCGATTGTTTACAGTGTGAAGCTAACGTTGCTAGCCTGCTGTAACCGTTTTGCATTAGCATGTTAGCTCCGCCGCGGTGACAAAATACTCGTGGACGTAGAACTGACATGACATTATTAACACCTCCGACAGCCAGTATGTCATTTGACGTAATGTTAGTGGTTTGTAAATGTTGAAACGCCGGGTTGATAGTTGTGTTTTGTGTGCGGTTAGCTTGTAGCTCTGTAGCTTTGTGCTTCAGAGTTTGCGATGCTGCAGTTGTTTCCGTGTGACACGTCCAAGCAAACAGTAACATGTCAGTCCAGACTATGTCAGTACATATTTTTAAAAATGTTTATCTTCTTAGCAGCTGCTGCTTCTATACACATTTCATTTTATGTTTGATCTTTGCATCATTAACCCTGAAACTGAGTTGTCAGGTAGAATAACCCACTCAGTCATAGCCTTGATGAATATTTTAATTCATAGTGTTAAAGTTAGTTTAAGGAGGCAAAAAGAGGGGACAAATAAATGCAAAAACTACATTTTTTGTCAATAGGCTGTTCTGTTTATGATTTATTAAAGATGTGCAAATTATTTTTAGAACTTAAATGAGTTTTTTTTACTTGACTTCACAGATTCAGTAGAAGAATTAGAAGATAGTATATCACAGAAAAAGATGAAAATCCCCAAGATGTCCATCAAGAATTCAGGAAACTCAATCGAGAACAACTTTGGAGAGGAGAGAATGCCACTCAGACATAAAAAGGTAAACATTGATTGTTTTGCATCACAACAAATCAACTAACAGCTTGTAATAAGTGACAACCACCTCTTTATACCAGGATATGTTTATAATTAATGAATGGCAACAGCATATTATTATTATTATTATTATTATTATTATTATTATTATTATTATTATTATTATTATTATACTGTGAATTGATCATGCTTCTTATTTATATTAATAACATGAAAGTAGTTTTGTGACAGAGGGAAATTTTTCAGTAAGTGCAATCATTACACTGATTATTACTCCTTTATAAAAAGTTTTTTTTTCTTTTAGGTAATATATGATTTGAATATAAATATGTGATAGAGCTTTGTCTATTAATGTGGGATGCTGCTATAAATTGTATTTAAGGTAGTCAATTTTTATACATGTATATAATTTGATGATTTAATGGCATATTTTCATAAACTTGGCAAGCACCCAAAATCCCCTACTCTATTTTTACCATATGCTGGATTAACACAAATTCAGCACTCTGGACAGCTGCCCTTTCACCAACAAATCCGCTGAGCTGCTCATCAAAGAACTCGGTGACTCTTCTCGTTCGTGTTTCTACTATGATCTGCACAGTCAAAACAAATCAATTGCAGTCTGTGTGTAATGTAACTTTAAACACTGATGTGTGGTTCTTTCATTTCAGTTGAAAATGCTGATTGGAGTCATGTTAGGTTGGATTATTATGAGCAAGTTCTCAAGCATTCAAAAATAACTTTAATAAAGTCCCAAAGCCACAAAATACAGATTTTTTTTAGATTATAGACAAATTGGTCGCAAATAAATTCTAAAAATGCTCAGTGTATTTCTGAACCAGTATAATCAATTGTTTGTGACTCTGGTCATTTCCTACATTGTTCATTGTAAGTCTAGTTTTTGTTCACATTTACATTTAAGTCATGCTCTTAACTTTGTGTTTATTACATTAAGGTATTATATCATTGTTCTATGCTTCCCTAAAATGATTGTTGTTTTCTTTAGGCTCAGTCTCACGACCATGGACGCCCCCTCTCCAACTCCTCAAAGAGTCTTGCAGCAGTAGTGGCTCGTCTGGAGAGAAATGCAGCCAATTCCTGTATGGAGGGCGAAGAGGACCTGGATGAGGACCGGCTGGCTGAGGAGGGAGAGGATGCGGATGACGAAGATGAAGACATGGAAGCGGCGCACCGGCGATGTCATCACCAGCAGCAGCAGCAACATTTGGAGATGGACACGAATTGTGTGTCTGAGGCAGCCACCGCCGTCGTTCCAAGGGTTTTATACGAGGAGCTGGTTCACAGCTACAGGCAACAGGAGGAGGAGATGAGGCGACTGCAGCAGGAACTGGAGAGAACCCGCAGACAGCTGGTACAGCAGGCAAAGAAGCTGAAAGAATATGGCAGTTTGTTGACAGAGGTCAAAGAACTGAGGGACTTCAACAGGAGGCTGCAAGACGTACTTCTCATGAGACTGGGCAGCGGTAAGAGACCAGGAACACACACACACACACTTCAACGTTAAAAAAAGGTACAGACAATTTCCAGTTTAAATCAAGTTTTACTAAGAATTGTTGGATGATAGACAGCTCAAGGATGATTTTAGACAGAGATGACGGGCACACTTGCAGTTTTATTTGTACTACAAACAGTCCTGTGTGTTTGCTACGTGAGTAATGTGTTTATTTATAAAGAAAAAACAATTAGTGCTTCATGACTCAAAGTAAAGGGAAAAAAACAGTCTGTACCCCATACTCTAGTAAAAGAAGAACTTTTTTTGTTCTTACGTAAGCAGTCAGTCTGACTAGGACATGTATACAGCACACACTGATCAAACACAAACTTTGGTCTGACAGAATGGTATCACAGATGTCTGTGTGAAGGCACCACAAACTTGGGAAGTTTAACAAGGTTTTTGTCACAAGCACCCACATGAACTCTTGTAGATACAGAATGTGTAAACTGGGCTTTAAAAGAAGAAACTCATCAGCAGCAGAACTTACATTTCAAATACTTGAAACACTAAAGGTTTTGTTTGTATTACCAAAAAATGTTTTCAAACGGGGTGCAACAATTCACTCAAGCCCCAATTGATTCGATTATCGATTTTAAGTTTATGATTACTATAGTTTTAGGTTTTCTTTTCAACAAAATGAATTGGTTATTTTATAACCAGATGTGTTTCTTTTCTTTTAAAGTCAGCATTTTGTCCTTGTATCAAACTGTAGCTGTCTGTTGTCTTAGTAACATAATATATCTTCAAAATAAATCAAAATATCACAAATTCTTTTGTGACCAAAAGTTATCAAGGATCAAACTGAATTTGTCAAGTTAAAGACATAACTTACTGTTAACATGAAATCCGTTCATTCATTTTTTATGAATCTATTCACATTTTAAGCAGTTATTATCAATTCTAAATTGATTTTAATTGTTACATCCCTAGTTATCACTTTACTGACAAAAATGTAAAAAAAAAAAACCACTTTAAAAATGATGTAATTTTAAAATGGACACCAAATGAATCACCCTCTCAGATGTTTCTTTTAACATAAGATGACATTTTGATATATTTAACAGTTTGTTGAATATAAAATATGTTACACTTCAAAATTGCAGATACAAATGTGATACTTATTACCTGTTAATTTTAATTTAATCATTTCAGATGTTTTTCACTGCCAATGAGCCATTCTTGTTTTTGAAGTTTTATTTGTGTTTTCTCAGGATAATATATTTTTTAAAATAACTAACAATTTAAAATAAATGTTTGGTATTAGAGTAGTTTTGCCAATGAACTGAAATAAGTTATTTTTTAGAGCTCAGTCTAACAAACATAGATTAATCATTAGAGTTATTTTTTATCAGTCCAACTTCTGTATGAAGCTTTTGACAAACAGATAATTTGCACGGCTCTGTAAGCAGCATCTACTATTTTGAAAAGTGAAATATAAAATGTTATATAGATATTCATTTAGTCATTTTTTTCTCACGTTGATCCGTTTCAAACCTAGTGTTAGAAGAGTAACAGAGGTGTCTGGTTTAAATTAGTTCCATCATTCTTTCTCCTTTAACAAAGTCAACCTATGCCAGATGGTAGTGTGAAGATCAGTCTTCCTGCAGATCAAAACAGAGGCATCTTAACTGTTGGCTAGACCATCTAATGGACAGACTACAGATTAGAGCACCCTGGGAATCAGTCTATCAGGAAATGGAATGTGTTGACCGATATTTAAACTCATCTGCTGCTTTGGAGCTTAGCATGATCAACTACCGAGCCACCTTAGGACTAGGCTAAAACAACCTCATGTCTCAAGCAATGTGGAAGCCCAGGTCTAAAGCAGGAAGTAAACATATTGGCCGTTTTACAGTTGGAATTAAGGTGCTTCCAAATTCTGATGGTGGATATGTTGTCCAGTAATGCTGTATTTTATTTTTGAAAAACTAAGTTATAACCAGTTCAGCTGATGACAAAGGTCCACTTTTTTTCTCTGAGACATACACCAACTGACTACTTTATTAGGCACACCTTGCTAGTACAATGTTGAACCTCCCCTGCCTTCAGAACTACCTTAATTCTTTGTGGCATAGATTCAACAAGGTGTTGGTAACATTCCTCAGAGAGTCTGGTTCATATTGGCATTTTAGCATCACACAGTTCCTACAGATTTGTCTGCAACACATCCATGAAGGGGATCTCTTGTTCCACCACATCCTAAAGGTGCTTGATTGGATTGAGATCTGGAGACACTTGGAGTCCAGTTAATCCAGACTCCTCAGACCAGCCAGTATTTTTCCAGTCTCTCATTGTCTAATTTTAGTGGCCCTGTGTGAATTGTAAGCTTCAATTTCCTCTTCTTAGCTGGCAGAAGTGGCAAATGGTGTGGTCCTCTGCTGCTGTGTCTAATCTGTCTTAATGTTGAATGTGTTGGGCATTCAGAAATTGTATTCTGACATTGATTTGAACGAGTGGTTTTCTGCTGTTGTCTTTCTTTCATCTCAAACCAGTCTGCTCCATTCTCCTTTGTCCTCTGACACCAACAAGGCTTTTGTTTTCATCCACACAAATGCTGCTTGCTGGATATTTTATATATTTTTTGGATATTTTCTCATTTTTGGACCATTCTCTTTAAACCCTGTGGTTGTGTGTAAAAATTCCAGCAAATCAGCTGTTTCAGAAATGCTCAGACCAACATTTAAAGCCACTTAAATCCTCTTTGATACTCATTCTGATGTTCTGTTTAAACTTCAGCAAGTTGTCTGCATTGATCTATATTACTGGATTGGACATTGCCTATAGCTGCTATAGTCAGCGACATGCCGTCTTAGGAGCCATTGCTATGCATTGAGTCATGTCAACAAAACAGTAGCGTTTCAATGCGGGATGCGCATCAATCTGTCACAAAAATATTCATAGCACCCTCATCTCTTATCCTATTTCTATAAAATATGGCTTAAATTAAAGCTGAGAAAATTGCAGATGTGAAAAAAATATGTATTTGCTCAAAAGATAAATCTATAAGCAGTCTGAGAACTTTTCATTTTAGGTTTTTGCTAATGTATTTACAGTAGAAGCCCCTTTCCATCACATAAAACTAAGTCATGTGTGTCATGTGTATATATATAATTCTAATTTTGCATTTGTTTCCTGGTTCTAAATTTGCGCTGAAGTGACTAAAGACAAATTCCTCCAGCTGATCATAAAATAAATGCGGTCGGCCCCTCCACCACTTCGCTTATGAAATGTACGGTGGAGGAAAAAAACTGACAGCGTTTTTTACTCTGATATATAATCACAAACTACAGGATATACCAAATGCTGACTGGACAGAACATCACCAGTAATATCTACACAGTTCAGCCTAGTAGTAGTAAAGGTAATTTTACTGTTGTCCATTATATTTACCTCTCACAATGTTATCCTAAGATAACAATATTAATAAAAATATAATTTGTTGGAACAGCAAATTTGTCTTTTCGTTGGTTTACCCAACATAAGGTTGTCAAAATCAAGCTAGCATAACTGACCTACTTTCCGCATCTCTGACATTTTTTAAAATAAAAAATATTTTAATGACCTGTAAAATGTGATAACCTTGATCTTGTGATCTTGTTTTGTAGTGTTGACAATTTATGGCAAAATATTGCATCCCTTTTTGATATTTTTGCATGACTGCCTGCTGCATCCCCTTTTTACCACCATTCATGGATGTTCCCGAGTCAAAACTCAATGCATAGCAATGACACCTGTGCGGCGCACGATAAGTCATGTGACGTCCAATCCGGGAATATAGATCAATGGTTGTCTGTATGCCTAAAGGCATTGAGTTTCTGCCATGTTATTGGCTGATTAGTTTTTTGTGTTAACAAGTAACTGAATAGGTGATAAAGTTGTCAGTGAGTGTTTATACTGTATCTCCATGTTAAATATTTTGTCTTCTAGAGCCTATGCATGACAATGGCACTCAGACAATCAAGGCTGAAGTGGTTGAACCTATTGTTGAGACCCCAGAAACATGCAGAGAAGAAGCCAACACAAGTTCCAGCTATTCGCCCTCACCTAGAACAGTGTATACCTGCAACGATGGAAAGGTAAGACTATTTGGATCAAAAAGCAATTGTTTACTCTGGGTAGCGCTTGCGTATCATCCTATCGACTGTTTTTCATTTTCTCATTGTGTCAGGTGATTTCAATTGTTTTGTCTATTTGAACGCTTCTACAGAAAAGTTCTGTTAAAGTAACTTTAATAGCCCCTACAGCTATGTATTGCTGGCTGTTTGTGTGCGACCATAAAAAGTAGCATGATGTTTGTAGGAAATGCTGCTTTCCATGTTAACAACCGTAACGCCAGTAACCTGCTGTCATAGGTGATCAGTCATTTTCACTCTGCTTCCCTGTCCTAGCAAGTAAACAAGGTTGAGAAGATTATTATTGTTCCTGCAAGCCCAGCCAGCATCATCAGTGTTTATTAGCCTGTTAGGGTTCTTTACTTCCTTCACTCCTGTAACTCAACCAGCGTCCTGTCTCTGATGGCGGGGGGTGGGGGGGGGGGGGATTGGTACTACAAGCTCTGGGGCCTGCAGCCACTTGAAGCGTGAAGAACACTTGCAAATTAGAACGTTCCTACATCAGGGAACCCATATTAATTATTTGCACGGGAGGAATTTAAAGTGACTGACAGGTTAGCCCTAGTGAGAGTGCAAAAGAGGGGTTAGAAAAGGAGAAGGAAAGATTATGAGAAGTAGATAAACGAGACCAAAGGGTTGGGCGGATGAAAACAGTCTTGTCTAACTTGAGGGCAGTTAAAAGCTTGTCTGCTGGCCTGCAGTCTAAAGCACATTAGCTGCACAGGGAAAAGCTTTTGGAAGCTAGCCTAAAGACTTTACAGTGATAAGAGAATAAGAGAAGGTAGAGAGTCGCGTATGTCTCCTGACATCCTATTTTGTTCACCAAAGACCAGGGGTCGGATTTATGAAACTGGCGCATGCACAATTTGAGCCCAGAAACTTGCGTACGCCACTTTTTACGCCAAGGTTGTGATTTATAAAATCCAAACTTGACATGAAAATGTGCGGTGCCTCAGCCAGCTTTGACCCATGCGTACGCTCATTTTGGAGACGTGAAACTGCGACACAGATGGTGAAGTGAAGAATTAGAGCCATACTGTGTAATGATC